ATAGCTAGTAGGTTGGAGGCCATAGCTAGTAGGTTGGAGGCCATAGCTAGCTAGTAGGTTGGAGGCCATAGGCAGCAAGTTGGAGGTCCTAGCTGGTAGGAGTCCATCCAAATGCCTTTGATTTTTCCTTTCGCCACACTCATCGCGTTCGCACTCCAAGGGGCCATGCGAAGGCCACGGCGCGGAAGGCCATGGCTGTCACGTGACCGGATGTCTGCGGCGCGTGGCGCGTGCAAAACGAATGGGTGCCGCATATAGGACAGAAGTGGGAGACGTGTCATCCCCTTTTTGCCCACTTTGTGTGCCAGAACTCCAGAGACGAACTTCTGCAGAAAAAAACATCAGCTATAGGACCTAACTGTAGGTTGTGGCGAAACGACAGCGCAGCCTTGGAGGCGCGACCGGTGCTTGGGCCCCCCCCGAAACCGGGAGAGCCCGACCAACCTCCTGGGCGCGACATCGGGCCCCGCAGGCGAAGGAGGAAGCATGGAGATGACCAGATGACATGAGGCGGCCTCAGTCGAGACCCAAGATCACTAAGAAACATCAAGAAACCCAAACTTAAGCTATAACAAGCTGGCCACCCACCGTGTTTTTCGAACGGATGGCCACCCTGGAACCAGGCTGGGCTGCAAGGCCAGTGGAGTGCCCCTTTTTCTTGTTAGTAGCGATGCCCTTGTGACTAGTAGCTTCGTTGGCATTCAACATGGACCTTCCAACTGCACCCAAGATGGTCTTTTCGGGGCACTGATCTGCGAACCGCCCCAGTGGAACACCGGATCCGCCCTCCGTCCGCGATCCATCCCTGCGTTCCCGACCCCTCTCCCGATAGGCTTCGGGACCAGGCTGGGGTCGCGTCTGGGTGTTTCACGCGCCAGGCACCAAACACACATATGGGAAGCCCATCGGGAGAGTACTCACTACATCAACCAGCATTGAGCTCGGTGTCGCTTGAGTATATACGTCTTTCAACATCGGCGAAGTGGAGACGGATGTGTTGGGGAGCACTTCCGAACGCCGCAGACTCGCACGCCTTTGCACATCTTCTCGTTCTTGATCATCAACAAATTTATAAACATGTCGAAAGAACTCAGCAATTTGGTGCAGAGCTGTACATCAGCCGTCGTTGCCATGCAGCTGTAAAAGGAGAGCTCAGCAAAACAGCAAGACTCATGAGCCGCGCCGAGGTGCGTTTGAGAGGACATTCTTCCAACCGCGACAATTGAGTTGGAGACCCCTGGAAGTCCGTTCCAGCCTTGTTAGAATGGTTGATCAAACATTAAGTAAAATCTGACAAGTAAAGCGATTCACACTAAAGCCCTTGTAAAGGTCTAACATTTTAGAACAGAACTAGTAAAGCGATGCTTGTTCTAAATGCTTGTAAAGGTATCCGATATGGGGATTCAGGCGATTTGCTCGGCCACGACTTCCCGACAACGGCTCATGACTCGAGGCGGCATGCATCACATGGAGCTGAGCTTCACATGCCGCTCCTTCTGGGGTTTACTCGTGCCAGAAGAGAGCAGCAAAGCGAGAGTCGTCGATCTTGTGAGGAGGTGTTCTTGGGTTTAATTTAAGCATTGCTGGTTCAAACACTAGGAATTAACAAACCTCTAGCCTCTAGCTCATCTTTTCTTCTGACATCGTGCAAAGAATGGTCTGGCATTTCCCCATCTACCGGACACTAGAACATCATAGCCACTGCACTATGGAATCGCAAGCCTGCCAAACGCAGGCTTACGGGAATTGATTCTCACCTTCCTCACAGGTTCCTTCCACTGGGTTTTGGATCTCACTGCGCTCTTACATTCTGGGCGGATCAACGAACATGTCTTGCGACCAAACACAAAGAACAAGCTTCCAAAAAAACGTTGGGAACACGTGCCGAAGGGTCACACCATGTCGTGCCGAGTCACTCAAACTATGTCAGTGACAGGGGGATTGCAATGGAAGACGGACGGACAGACGTAGAAAGCCACTAAATGTGTGTCTCGCGAAACCCGAAGCTCCTGTCATTCTTTCAGAAACCCAAGAGCTTCTCACCCAGTGCTCCAACCACCTCCTGAGAAGGTGGTTGGGGTGGGTTTGGGGGGTCTAACCACGTTCTGAGGATATAGTTGGAGCCCTAGGGTCATGACACCCAAAAGCTTCTCCGAAAGCATGTTGATCCCGCCGCAGAGGCCAGAGCGCGCCAAACCTCGCCGCTTCCTTCGCTTGAGGTGGAACCAGGAGCCACCACAGCCAGGGCAGCCCGGCCGTGTCCAAGGCACATCACCCTTGGGGCCGTGTGTTGACGCTTGTGAGGGACACCATTCTCCGATGAGCTACCCGAACAGAGTGTCATTGGTTGAATCAAGTAGACTGGTCATGTGAAACTTGTTTGCACGCGGATGCTTACACTGCTGTTTTCACTGGGACCATGACAATCAATAGAAACACACCTTGAAACGGCCCCAGTAAGTGTACACTCTCGTCTCTTCTTCTTGGTGTTGCCCAAAAACCGAGATGTGCTAGCTGAAACAGTGCGTCAACAAGCCAACATCTTGCCGAACATGCCACCGTCATTTCATAAAAATTAAGCGACGTCGTGGCGCCCAGGACGAGGGCAAACAGCAAACAGAGTATGAATCATGAGCCGTTTCCACAGTCATAGGCGACTCTCCAGTAAACCCCGTAGCTGATAAACACCTCCATATTATGGACTCCATGGTATGGATGTGGTTGCAATACACCAACCACTAAAAGCAAAGATGCACAGGTACAGTACGTAGAGTATGTTCCTCACTTTTCGCTGCTTTTTCTTGCCTTGGCCCAGAATTCTTTTGGGCTCCCAACCCAGATGTTTCTAGCAAATGCTGACGAAATTGTGTGTGGTGCATGAGAGCTTCGGGAATCCCGTGATGGGGCATCGTTTACACCCCTCAATTGGTTCAAGCAACTTGAGGAACGGCTCACGCTGATCGCATAGCATCGTAGCATAACTTCATCGTTCAAAACACTGGAACTATACAACTTCATACCGTGACTTCGAGGAAATTCCGGGGATTTCGCCCAACTTGCCCAACTGCATCGTCTGAGAGTGAGACGTCTGTGGCCGTTGGTTCCGTTGAAGTGGTGAAGGGACCAGCTTGATTTCACCATGTAAATTCCAGGAACAAATAGACTCATTTCATTGTTTCCTCAAGAACGTATGCCTTGAAATACAGAATGCACCACAAGGGGCTCGCACAAACCTGCAATCCTCTTCTTTGGAAAACTATAGAACCCAAATGAACCAAACGTCAACAGAACACAATCTATGCATTCTGAATAAGCCTTAAGCCTTAAGCCGAGAGCCAAAGACTTGAAGCATAGAAAAGGAGTCGACCAATTGAACGAACTATATAACTGAAACCCATTGAAACCCTGACGATGGCATTTCCTCGTCTGTTCCATGCAGCGGTGTGGGATTTGCGGCAGCTGCTCCAGTCCTTTCCATTTTCCAGCAGGAAATGATGCACAGCACATCTGAGAACATCACAAGGCTGTCATAACCGGACTGGCGTTTCCAAAGAATAGATCTTCTCATATTATGATATCTTCTCCGTGCTTTTGACCTGAAACCTGGGCTACATAGCTGCTATCCAGCAGAAGAAGTTTCCAAGGAAAGGTTTTCAACGAAGACCGTCAGCTTGGGCAGCGCACCGCCTGCGATGTCTCAGTGAGACAAATGCAGCAGTGATCAGCAGTGTAGCTGGGACCAGTGCCACGCCGAATTCAGTTTTTCCTGCTAAACCAAGGACATCACCTGCAACACTCAAGGTTTCTACCAGGGGTTATATGAGATTTTCACACTTCCACAGTTGCGGGAAGGCTCTATGTGACACGTGGTTGATACTAAGGTTGACGTATTTGTGCATGTCGACAGTCTAGCAAATGTAGAATCATGAGAAAAACACCGTGTCCCGTTTTTCCGATGTTCTTGACCCTTTGAAGGGAAATCCAAAGGCATGGAGTGCCAAACAAAACGGCACGGGCGACTGGGCGAAGCGCTCGCGAAGCTGTGTCTGAAGATCGCCAGGTTCTATCACGCATTGCGTGACATTCTATTTATCTGGCTCCCCAAAAATTTCATGGATTCTAGAAATTCTATAACTTTTGGTCCCAAACGCCTCAGGTTAGGGATAAACCACTAGTCTGTAAGATTCTATTGGTGTTTCTGTTGCAGTTGCCGATCACACAAGCCGACACAAGCGGCATCGACAATTCAAAACCCGGCATCCCAGCTGTAAAATAGTTAAGGCGTTTCTGGTCGCTGCTTTTTGAACCATACAAGTTTTTTCTGGACATTTTTATTGGCACATAGACCTGTGTTATAGGAACAAACGATGGACCATGCAACCGAACCGTTTCACGCAAGCGAGCTTGAGCATGTGATCGGAATCCAAAGAGAAAAAAGAAGCAGTGGAGTCCCAGAAATGAGAACTGCAGAGTTCTGCAAAAGATACCTTAAGGACGGTCACCTGTGCCTGGTGCGCGATTGCACAGCGAGTGTGTGTCAGTGTGTGTGTGTGTGTCACCTCCCGTTTCTAGGGATCTTACTACTTCTATCTCTTCAACCCGTCCAGTCTTGCAAGCAGCCCGTCCAGTCTTGCACCAACGAAGACACTGGATGTTGCATCTGTGATATCGATTTGGAACGCCACATCGACCAGCCTGCCTTTCAGTGATTTAAACTCTACTGTTCAGCCGACTTTCGCGCCTTGCTTCCTCAGGGCCGTCTTGAAGGTTTCAGGTCTGAAAGAGCCCCCCCTAGACGTCTGGTAATGTGGCAACTAAATCGTACAGGGCCAACGTTCACCGAGATCCCTTCAGAATCTTACTCTTTCAAGCTCTTTCTCAAGTGTGTGTCTCTGTGTTTGCGAAATCGATCGGTTGGAGACACAGAGGTGCAAAGAAACTACCCTTCTGGAGTTGTGCTCTTGGACAAGGTTTTTGAAGCCACTTGGCCATAAAAAGAATCTCGCGCTTCCGCTTGTTTCCTCCGTGGATTGAAGGTTTCGCACGCTCCACTCATGACTTCATACAAATCCCCGGAAGACGGCCTGTTACTTACACACGGATCGGATCCGATTGCATCTCCGGAATCAATCAACCACCAGTTTTTAAGGGTGAAGCCTGGTTTCCTGTAAGGTCAACTCCTGATTAATAAACCGCCCCCCCCCACCCACATGTTAGGTCAACAAGGTCAAGAAGATATGAGATACCAGTCATGAGGTCCACCTGCCCTGAATAATGTGTTATGAGACCATAGGACCATGAAGGATGATACCAGGCTTTGAGGGGATGAGCTGATGAGCATGAGGCCAGAGTCCATATAGGAAGCAAGGAGTTCGTAGTAGTAGTAGTAGTAGTAGTAGTAGTAGTAGTAGTAGTAGTAGTAGT